TAAAAACAGGGCGAGATCAATATTGTGCTAGGGTTATCAGGGGTTTGTGTTCTGTTGAAACATGCTAAACTGAGCCCAGGTAGAGGTAGGTTAAGGATTTCTATGTTGCAGCGTTGATGACAAGTTTCCCTGCGCAATTTCTCTTATGTGTTACTCAGAAGAGCAGAAGAGTCAGTAGGGGGTTTTTCTATGTGACTTTTTTTTTTTTGCTTTAGACTGGGATTGACTTGCATATAGACAATGATGTAACTTCAAGTCCAAAGCTCAGTGAGTCAAGTTATTACTTAGTTTGTTACATAACACCCTTTGTGGGACAAAGGGTGATCCTCCACAACACAAATCTTACTGAAGATTTTTAGAAAAGAGCTGGTTTTTTGTTTTATTTTTGTAATGGCCTGAGTATCATCACTTCCTCAGAACAAATTATCTGCACTCTTTGAATGATAGCCAGTACCATAAGCGCACAGTGCATCTTTGAACTAGAGAATTACAATTTTCTTAGAAAACTGATGCATACTAACTTAAAAAACTTGCCAATACGAAATACTGTAGGTATGCAGCACTATTGCAGAGCAGTGGCTCTCAAACTGGTGATGACTTGGACTAGCCAGTATGTCTTTTGTCAGTTTGGGGTTTTTTAATGTTAAAAAAACAACACATATAAAAGATCCATGCAAAGATCACATCATGGACCTGTGAAACAGCTGAACTTCCAGTCTTGCAACCACATGCAAAAGAACGTTATTATGTTGGACTCTGCATATGTCTAAAATATACTGTCACAGAAGTAGTGTGGTTTTACTTTCACACTGATGCCTTTTAACACCTTTTTTCTGGTACAGTCCAGATACTTGTTTGTCAGGGAAGGGGAGACAAGCTCAGACCTTTCAGGTCTTAGGTGTCATAGGGCTTACCTTCTTAAGTGTGACCGAGGAAGACAGAGTGGGTGGAAAACAGGGTGGTTAAATAATTATAAATTGGTGTGCGCTCATGGAAAGCAGTGTTTGACAACTGTTAAACTCGTTTGGCAAACTCTAGAGACTGGTGGTGTGGCCAAGAGAAGCAGCCCCATCATGACCTGTTCTGCTGCCTTTGCAGGCATGGGTAACTGGATGGTGTACTGGAGTGAATTTGTTCAGCTGAATACTAGCATTCTTCCCTGCCCTCCTTTGCAGAACTGTTTTTGCACTTGCATTAGTTTTCTAGTGCAGTTCTCTATGTACTGTACGAACACCTGCACCAGAAAAAGGTTCTGGGGAAAGACTTGGGGAATGACAGGATTGTGTCTTCTGGCAGCTCTGACCACTGAAGGTGTTCAGCCAGCCAGAGCCTCAAGGTTGGTTTCTTGGCAGCGATAGTGACATGGCTGGACAAATTAACCTTTTAGAGTTTCACTCTTTAATCTTTTCTGGAGAAAATCAAGTGGTACCCAGTCCTTCTCAGTGCTCAGTCAGCTGGGTTGGCTTAAACTGCCCTACAGTAGTTTCAATGCCTTCCAAATGATTAAACTACTGTCAAAGGCAGAATACATTGAAATGTGGCATATATGTTGCAAGTATTTTGTTAGCATTAGAACAAGCAGTTGAGGTTCTGACTGTAGCTTTACAAAAGAAAAACAACGGACAAAAGGACAGAAAATAAATCTTCTCTCTAATTGGTTTTTCTTAATAAAATATCTGCTTTCCTTGTTGCTGAATTAAGAGTTTTTACTGGGTACTGTTTTTGACAGCAAAAAGGAAGAACTGGGGAAAAAACAAACTATGAAAGTATTGGTTATTGGCCTTGGCGGGTAAGTATTACAAAATTAAATTTCCTCCATAGCTTAAGACTGGCCTTCCTATCAGAATGAAGTGATATTATTTCTATTTCTGAATATATTTTTTTTTTTAACTGGATTGCAAATGCACCTTATAATTGTATCATTTTACAGGATGTAACACTTGAGAAATTATTCTGTCTTTGTTGGAGATCCTAGGTACAAGTGTCTGAACCTCTTCCTTGGCAGTGCAGGTCGGAACATGTCAGGAAATTATTCTAGAGTTAGAGAGTACTTAATGTGCATAAACTTTGGGAGTCTTGTATTGGTTTTTTGCATATGTAACAATATAGAGTCGTGTGAGCTTGTACATACGTTTAAAAGACTGATTTTTGCCTTGATGAATCTTTAAAATGTTTTCTAACAGTGTAACAAATGGGGGGAAAACAACGCTGGCAGAAAAGCTTAAGAAAATGCTTCCCAACTGTGATACAATCTCTCAAGATGACTTCTTTAAGGTAATAGTATTGATGGAAAGACCTGATAGGAAAAAGTAGACTTAAGCAGATTTTGGTATAATTTCTTCTCTTCTCATTTCACTTATTGATGAACTTAAATAGATGCTGCTTAAAATAATGTTACCTTCACGAGAAGGAGAAATAAAATGAGCACTGGGGTAATTGAAAATTTCAGTGGCCAAACCACTGGGAATACTTAGCAAAAAGAAGCTAACTGTCTTCTTTGCTACCCTTTTATAATAAGGAATGGGTGTATGTTGGATGCATTTTTCCTTTGTGCTAAATGAATTTAATGATACTGTGTTACACCTACACCCATACAGCAATAAGTAGTCTCCCAAATCAAAACAGAAAGACAGCTTGCTTGTTGATGTTGGAGTTGTTTGTTAAGGAGGGTGAAGGAGCTCTTTTCTATTAAGAAAAGCTCTAATGAATTTAAGTTGCATGATTTAAAGTATTTGTCCTAGATTAAATAAAATGTTTGTATTATAATTTAATAGTTGTATACCACAGTTTAATTTCGAAGATAAATTTAATCATTTGGGATGCAAAAGTGTATAACCCCTATGTTTATAACTGGACAGTAGGTATCTGTGACAGTGGTCATAAAAGCAGCCTTGAAAAAACTCAATTTTTCTCCCCTTCAGCCAGAGACTGAAGTAGAAACGGATGAGCGTGGATTTAAGCTGTATGATGGTCAGTAACTTCGATGCATTGCTTTTGAACATTGTACTGAAATTCTGTTGTGCTTCAGCATTTTTTCCCCTCCACCCCCTGCCCTTCTTCCTTTTGAGCAAGGCAGTAAACAAATGATTGTTTCAAAGCAGTCCTTTGCTCAGTTTCTTTCAGCTTACTGAGATATGTAAGAAAACTTGCTTAACTAGTAAATACCTCCAGCTTTCCTTTTCTATTCTGAATCTTTTCCTCTATTTCTACGCTTGTGTCTGGTGCAGTAGAAAATGGTACTGTTCAGTTAAAAATCTTGACTTGCAGTGCTGGCATAAGCTTAACCTCATCACTTTCTGTGTGTAATGATGGATTTTTCTTTCACTTTGATAATGAACTCACAGGATACCACTATTGAGTCTTTCACTGTCATATTCCAGATCAGGCAAAACTGTGACATCTGACACCTTTATTTCATATCGATCTCACATAAATAACAAATGCTTTTAAGTTCATGGTTAATGCTGGCTCAATGTGCCAGTTTAATCTTATGGACTTCCAGATGCAGGTCCGCTTTAGGCCAGTGCTTTGGTTCAGATTATATCTAGTTGTGAAAGGTTGCTCAGTAGCTAGTTTCTTTTCATACTTTATGATTGCAAAATGGATTACTCAGAATATCGGTCAGACCCTTCAGTTGTATCTGAAAACTGGTGCTTATCAGCTGTGCAGTCTTTGACTCAACTTCTAGGCTTCATGAAACTGAAATGTGGAACTGGTGAGACATTCTGGTTCAAATATCCAGGTTTAAAGACACTCTAAAATGTCTTTGCTCTTATGTTTTCCAAAGGCCGCCTTCTTTCTACATTTCAGTACTTCCTCAATATATTCTTGTATGCTGTGCTTCTTTTAATCCATCTATGCCCAGCTTCGAATACCTGAACCTGATAAAAACCCAAGGCAAAAAATGTTGAGCATCCACTCCCTTCACCTGTGACAGTTGACAGAAGGGCGGAGGTCTCAGTGTAAGTAAACTTTTACAAGATTTGTGGAAGAGAACAGGCCTTGTGGTTTCTGTCATGAACCAAAAAGCTGTGAAGTGAGTTCACACTATTTGGGGTGCCATGAAATTCAGAGAGACTACACCCACCAGAAATACCCCAATCCTGGTGTAAACTTAGATTTCACAGGATATCATGAATTCCAAATACAGAACCACTAATATGCATGAGAGAGAATCTTTGGGGAAATCTGGGTAATCCTGTTCCCTTTCATTTAGACTTGTATCTAGATTATTTTATTCTTACAGATTTACCTAGGAGTACTTAAGGCTTCCTTTTTTTCTTTTCTTCTTTGTTTTTAAGGGATGTCTTAACTTTCTGTTCTCATTTAGTACTTGATGCCCTCTATATGGATGAAATGGTGAGAAGTATTCGCAATCGGATAAAAAGCCCAGCAAGCTCAGGTGTTGTGACAGAAGAGCTGCAGAATACATGTGACAATCTGAACAATGTTTATATTTTGATTGTTGAAGGCTTTCTGCTTTACAGTTATGAGTAAGCAGTAACACATAACCTGGTATATTAAAAGCTGCCCTAAAATCTAAGAGGGAACTAAATATGGTATTATCTTAGGCCACTTAATGAACTATGGAATAGAAGATATTTTTTGACCCTGCCTTATGAAGAGTGCAAAAGGAGAAGGAGGTAAGATTATTCAGTTATTGTTTACAGAGGCTCACTATACCCCCTAAGATGGAGTGGTACTTTTGTACTAGCTTTTCTTCAGTGCTTGCCAGATGTAAGCTATTAAGATAGTCTGTTCTCTGTGATTCCCAGGGAAGACTGTGTAGGTATTTAGCCTACAAAAGCATGCAGAGATGTGGGTTGTTTTGTTTGTTTTAGGTTTGTTTGGTTTGGTTTTTATTTTAGCACAAGGATATTAAAGTATTAAATGTTTTACAAACACTAAAAAGATAATTTATTTTACTGATAAATTATTTAGATTACTGGCTGAGTTAAACCATGTTTAAAATGAGAAACAATTTAAAAAAAAACTAAACAGGCTTATCCTTGGTTGAATACAGTTACATGATGATTGTTGTTGCAGTGTTTATGTGTGGTTTTAGTGTACACTTTGTTTAGATTGTACATTAGATGTACTGTGTATCTGATTTAGATTATTGAGCCAGTATCTGATTTGCCTCCAAATTTGCAGCTATACTGTGTGCTTGAAGCAGTACATATGCACAAAGTCAGAAATTGCTGGCTGAGTGAAGAAATCCTCTATACAACTGGCTTTGGTTATTCCACTTGGTTTCTCACTAGACTCACCTTTATAGGACTTTAATGTCCATAATGCAAGTGACTAGAGTAAAGTAACTAGTCATTTAAAGCTTGAGACATCTGTGTACCAAATGAAAAAAGAGAAAAAATAATTTGTTTTGGTAACAGTTTCAATACAGCTTAATTTATATGTAATACCTTTTTCAATTTAAAAACTCCAACATTGTCTTAGATGTGGTTTGATTGGCAGAAATAGGTAAGATAGCAAAAATTCTTATCACAGATTGAATTAAAACAATTTTTGGCTCTAACAGTTATGCAGCCTGCCAGTTTTTCCTTATATATTTTGGATAAATGGTCTTATTAAACCAGGGAAAATGTAAAAAATGTTTTGAAAAACAAGTATATTTTTGTGTAGCACTAGAGTCTATGAGCCAGCAGATACACCAGGGTACTTCGATGGACACGTGTGGCCTATGTATCTGAAATATAAAAATGAATTGGAAGAGAATGCAAGCATGCATGTTGGTATGGTAACCTTAATTTTAAACTTATAAAATGCTTAAGTGTGACACCGAGTTTTTGTTGTGTTGTGGATTTTTTGAATGAGACAAAATTTTTGTTCAAATGTTTTTGCAGCACTTGGATAGTAGGTTTAGACCCTTTTGTTTGTTTATATTTCAAGTCTATAGGGGCTTTGGTTTTGTTTATTATATAATAATGAAAATTATGAAGTTAAAAAACAGAAATGTTCTGATACTAAGGAAGTGCACTCAACAAGATAGCTTGTGTGTCCATGTGTGCATACATGTGTATGGAATAAATAGCAAGCGTCTGAGATTATAGCTGATGCACCAGCAGAATTCTTAAGAACAGAATTGAAATCCTGCTCAGGTCCCCTAATAAGCTGAAGAGACTTCATAGGTGCTGACTGTACTCACTACAGTCACCAGTCTTGCATGAGAACTGGCAAAGTTGGGCCACCTGGTGGGGCTTGCATGACGTGTGCACCTTAGATTGCCTGGCTCTGGGGTGGGGGCCAGAGCAGAGGGAAGTTGGGTGGCTAGATCGTCCGCACACTGCTTCTCACTGTGCAGCGAAAATGGGAACTGCAGTGCTCTTCCCTGACATGCTCAAATGCTGAAGCTGAGAAAGAATCTGAAGTCTTCAACTGCACAAAAACCTTTCTGCTTAATTATTCCATCACTCTACTGTCCTAATAGTATTACCATTACCCTTATTGGGACTTTTAGACCACAAAAAAAATTAATTATTAACTAGAATACTTTTCCATTATGTTATTTTTTAACACATAAAACGAATTTGGGAAACCAGGGAGCTGCTGTTCTTGCTTTTTATTTTTTTATCTCTTCTGATGGCATCCCTAGGAATACTGAAAACTTTGCCAATTGCTATTACAGATAGCTGGTGTAGAACTCATGAACACTTTTTCTTTTGTCTTCCTCAGTTTATTTGGATGGAACAAAATCCCAAGAGGAGCTTTTATCCTATGTATATAGTGATATAATGAAGGAATTAAAAAAGATGAGGGAAGAAAGTAAGTAATGTTACTGGAAATTGAGTATATGTATCCTGTTCCATGTTAACAAGAAGCTAATCCTTTTATATGAAAACACTACAAGGATTATATAGATCTATACCTCCTTACATATTACAGTCCATATACATGTTTGCCTGTTACTGAGTCAATTTAAGTTACAACTCTGAGTTCCTTGAAATGGGGTGTTCTGAAATAATTGTTAAATCCACTGTTGTCTAATGATAAAATAATAATAAAAAAGGATAAACACAGAAGGATTATGGGGTAAAACATCAATGAAAATGAGTATGTTGGTGGTATTAGTTTCTAATATACAGTGATGTCACCTGCAAACACTACAGGTTAACTGTGTACTTTTTCTTTCTTTTAGATCAGCAGGTCACAGCATGATGATGTGGAAAGCCGGGGTTCAACTTGATACAAGTTGAAAAACCCAAGACTGTCATACTTGGCAAGATATTAGGTGTATATGACTGTAATGCTAGTTCATACGGCACAAGTAAATATTAATTCTGTAAGTCCTAGATATTGTTTAGCAGTATCAACAGTGCATTATTCTTTAGAATTCCTTTAATCAGTCATGCTTTGGCTAATCTTTAAATCTGATTCCACATGTACATTTTAAAGAACATTAAGATTTTTGTGTTCAAAACTAAACCATAAAGATGCAATTCCGTTGGATAAATAAACATTTGAATATGGATGATTGTAATTTGAAGTGATCATATAGAAATTACAGTAATTGCCTCTAATATTTTTAGGAGCTCATAATCATTGATAAAGATGGTTAGAGGAACCAGCTGTCTAGGTTTAAATTGTATAAGTTGTTAATGCTGCTTATTCAGTTACTGATTGAATACATCATAGCTGAACTTACTTAGACTTGCAAAATACTTCTGTGTTGTTTGCCAAGTAATTTTTATATTGCCTGTTCTTTGGAGCAGTTGGGAATTTATATTAAAAAAATGAAAACAGACCAGAAGAAAAGTCAGATTGTTGGAAAAAGATGAGAGAGTAAGATGTTGTAGACAATACAGATGCATGAAAACCAAGACTTAGTACATATATTGTGCAGAGATTGACGATTGGGATGGCACAGACTACTAGACAATAAATGCATGCTTCAGGGAGGAGGAGGAAGAAATAATTCTTATTAATACTCATAGCTCAGGTTGAAACTGAAGTAATGAAAATGTTCAGAAAGCAGGTATGCTAAAATAAACGTTACAGGTTTGTTATACAATTTGTGTACATAAATTTAAATAAACCAGGAAACTGGGTCATATTTAGTTATTGAATAAGTAATGTATTAGCTCTTACATCTTCTATACAATGTCTTGCATTTTTATTAGAATAAAAATAAAGCAAAGGATGGACTATATTACTTACTGTGTGACAGCTGAATTGATCAGTAATTTAAATGCAGTGCTTTATTGTACCAATATTAAGAGTCATAAGTCAGTATATAAGAAAATCATTTTGTATTATTATTTTGCACAAAAAATATTTCATATTGCATTTGCTCATACGCTATGGACTGTCTGACTTTAAACTGTATTTTTATTTCCCTCCAGCTGGGAGATATAAGCTAATACTTGGATGGTTGTGGTCAGCTGACCTTGGCTAGCCATCAGGTGCCCCCCAAGCTGCTCTACTGCTTCTGGCTCCTGAGCTGAACAGGGGAAAAACATACCATGAAATGCTCATGGGTTGAGATAAGGACAGGAAGATCACTCAGCCATTACAGTTACAGGCAAAACAGACTTGGCTTGGGGAAATTATTTTAATTTATTGCCAATAAATCAGAGTAGGATAATAAGAAATAAGAACACATCTTGAAACACCTTGCTTCCTGGGTTTGACTTCCCACATGAGTTCTCTACTTCCTCCCAGCAGCACAGGCAGACAGTTAATGGGGGTTGTGGTCTGCTCATCAAGTGTAGTCTCTGTTGTTCTTCCATCTCACAGTCTTCTGCTGCTCCAGAGTGGGGTCCCTCTGACAGGAGTCAGTCTTCCACATTCATCTGCTCCAGCATGGTGATTCAGAGGAGTGAAAGAACAATGAAATCACCCAAGTTTGCAGAGGATACTGAGCTTTCTCAAGTAGTCCCACACTGGTGCAGTGGCATTGAGCTCGGCTGTGCGATCATCCCATAGACAAAAGTGGCAGATGAGCTCCAATACAGATCTATGCATTTGTGGTGTAAATCATTATTCGAATATACATGGTACTGAACTACGACTTCAGTAACTTGTAGTAACACCTCAGGGAAAAGATCTTTCACAATTATCCTGTAACCGTCACCTTAGTTTCAATCTGCATCAAAATTACTACTTTTTTTCAAACAAAACAGGTGGTATTACCTTGCTCCTGAGTAAGGCCAGTGAACACACATTTTCAGGGCTGGGCAATTTCTTGTTTCTGCATCTGAGGAGAGTCCATAGTACAGTAAAAGAAGGGTAGCTTAATGTGATCAAGGGAATGGAGAAGCTGCTTTGTGAGGAGAGACTGAAAATGCTGGGATCCTTCACTGTGGAGAGAAGACTGAGGGGAAAAAAGGGTCAAGGTTTACAAAATCTTGGAAGTTGTGAGTCAAGTGAATGCAGAACTAGTATTCACCAAATTGTACAAATATCAGTTCAGGGAGCACTTCTTAATTTGAAACAGATTGATCAATGAAGTTAAGGTGATACTTCACATGGGTAAAGATGATACTTCATACAGCAGACAGTGAGCTTCTGATGCTGTAGCAGGCAGATCATACCAAGTTCAAAACAGATTTGGAAGATTCATTTGACACCTTGCCCATAAATAGTGAAAGAAGCAAGCAGGGCTATACCATGGATGGACTGTAGAAACTGACCAGGCTTACCTGGTGCTCCCAAATTCTATGCTTTTGCCAGTTGTTACAGCAACTCAGTGACTGTGAGTCCATTTGGGAGATAAGATATATTGTGTGCCATTATAAATACTTACTGAACTGTCCTGCAGCATTGGCATGCTAGCAGAACGCTTTTGCTTTGTAGGTGATACAGCCGCTGACAGGAAAAACCTAGTTTGCCCTTGGCAAATGCCTTTTTACTTCCAGGGAAGTGCTAGCTGTGAAGTGGTTGGGGAGAATCATAGAATCATGAAATCAACCGGGTTGGAAGAGACCTCA